AGGGAGGGAGGGGAGGGAGAAGGCATGAATTTGTGTCCATGCCTATGGATTCACATCTGTTCCCAAACTCCTGCTTTTGATTTCATATGAGCACAAACCACAAACCTTAGAGGAGGAGCAGCACAAAATTAGTGCACGTGAAATCAAGATCATTTCATAATATGGGACAGAGCAGAAGGATTCACGAACTCACAAGAAACAGCTTGCAAAAGGGGAAAAAAAAAGTCAATAATGACAAAGACTTTTTTAAAAGAAAGAGCAGGATCCCAAAATAAAAACCACACCATTGGTGGTCACTAGTGCTGTGCTTAAGCTGTCATCTGTTGAATCTGGCAGTCTGCACGTCATTCAAGAGATAAATGCCTTTACCAGAACCCTCCGGACAACGAGAATATACAGCGTACACATTTAAACCAGACTACCAGGGCTGGGGGAAACTTTGTTGGTGGTCACAGACACTGAAGAATCAGGTATAGGAAACTCTGAGTAAAGCAAACGTACTCTCAGAGGGAAAAATAATGAGAAGCAAAACTTTTTTTCCCCTTCTTATCCAACATTTTGGTAATGGAGGGTAATTGCACAGTAATGTACCCACTCATAAATTTAATACACACAGATTATGTTTGTGTAGCTAAACTGGAAGTGGTCTTTCCTGTCAGGTAGCCACAGAACCTTAAAATTTGTTTTGGGAAAGCAGGACATATTTTATCTGGTCTCATCCCTGTTGCTACAAGGAACCACATATGGCTAGAGGTACTGCCTACTCTGCAACCAATTAAACATGCCACAGCAAAGTGTTTTCTACTATATACCATGTGGTGAGTCTCCACAAAGCAAGAAATGGTGGGATTTTTTGCAGATTATTACATGGGCTCAGAAATCCTGAGCCTGTGCAAACATTAAAAAATACTCAAAATATTTGAACTGGAAAACACACTCATTTGCTGTAATGCCTGTGGATTTCTTAAAAAAATACAGGATCTTCTTTTCCAGTCATCCTCTCAAATGTGAAGTGGGATAATGAAGAAGAATTCTAAACAATTTTATTGTAGCATGTTTTCATAGGCTATTTACAGCCGTTTCAGTTTATTCATTTATGCACATTTTGTCTCAGTTTTCAAACAAAAACAAACCTTTCCTGGGGGTAGCTACATCCAAGTTTGTCTTCTGCTCCATTGTTCTTT